CCACCTCTGTCAATGAAATTTTGCTACCATTCCAGGGCTACATTTGGTGCACAAATGTGACATAACAGGAGTATCACAAACATGCACCAACTGTAACCTTGGTGTAGCTTATTTATTACAAATGTGAGCCTGAGTAACCCTGGTGTGAACACACAATTGGTGCACATTAGGAATATAAAACTTTGGTACACTTCAGGTGCACAGCAGGGTCACTGTGTAGAAATACAGACACATCCCCAGTGTGCACCAATTTCCCCATTCTGGTGACATATACAATACCTGGAAGTACAGTATGACAGTATTGGTTTACAAACTTAATGCCTTCCTGAGCTAAGTTTGTTAAGCAAATCACATTTCCCTTTGAGATTAGACAAACCTCCCTCAGTCAAATACCTCAATAAATTGAATTTTTTCCAAGTCCCCATCTGATTGTCCTCAGAAACAATGTAATAAAAACTTCTCTAATTTGAAGTATTTTCCTACCAAACCTCCCTAACTGGAGTAACTCAAATTTTCTGAGGCCTTTTGGCTATTATTTTCTTTCCACAAGAAAATGAAATAATTTAAAATATTGGATTTGACATGCTTTGAATGAAAGTGAAAGACTACTTGGTCTAGAAATAACCCCTGATACATCATTAAATTTCAGCATCCTGTTGAATCAACTCCTTTCATAAGCAATCTAAGGCCCAAAATAGTAACAGTTACAATATCTGGCAATTCTTAATCTTCCCCACAACAAAATTGCAAGTTTCCTAACTCAAAACCTCTCTATATATTTTGTATGATTCAAAACCCTCCCTGAGTTGCATTTTTTGTGGTCTCTTCAAATTTTACTTGGAGAGGTTCCATGTACTGTATTAACAGAAGTAAAATGATTCTTGCATGATTTTGAATTTTATTTCAACATACAGTATTTCGTTTTATTTTTGAAAATTTCTTCCTTGATATTTTTTCAATTTACTTCTTTGTTTCATGAAAGTCTTCTCATTTTAGTCATCCTTCTCATTTTTTGCTATAAAAATGAAGCAGGTACACCTGTCCATCATGTTTGTTCTTTACTCCACAGTACTTGGAAACACAGGTTGTTCAAGAGTGCAGAGTGAAGGAATTCTGTGAAATAAGTGACCAAGGAGCCCAAGTAAATTTACTGATTGATATTTTTGCATAGAAAGTGTTGACTTCACCAACCCTCTGGCATCCTTCTTAGGCTCCACTAATACAGTACTTCTTCAACACGTCTTTGAGCTTCACTTCTAATTTTTTCAATGAAGGTTTTTTTATGATTTTAGTCCCAGTAAAATGTTTAGGTGAAATTTTGCGATTTCATTGGAAACTTTAGATGTTGTGGAACCAATACAAATTATTCCTGTACAGTACTTTCTTATTAAGGGAAAATATAATTCAGCTGACAAACTATATTGACAAACCAACTTTCCTCAGGTATGATGGATTATAAGATAAGTTATTTGTAAATAACCAAGAACCCATTGTACTTGATTAAATGCAGAATATATCCAAATATTCTGCCATTCTTGCTTGACAGTTTTTTTAGACCATCCATATTAATCTCTCATCACTCCAGGCATTGAAGGTGTCCAGCAAAGAATAAAACTTCCAGCTGGTTCCTGTGTAAATTCCTTCAAATAAGCGTCACGGTAATGAATGTACATTTCTGTGATAAAAGAGAGCTACAGAAAATATTGTTTCTCTTACCTTTTCAAATTATTTACGGCAAGCTGGTGTTGATCAGGTTCATGGGTTACGTCACCACCATTAGCACTTGGATCGGTCAAGCCTGACAGATCTAAGCACACTCGCCCCTCTATGTCCGGTGCTGTGAGCAAAGAAGCCATGTCTGAAGACTCCAAGAGAATCATGGCAGGGTCCAGCACGCCAACATCTGCTGCCAAACCGTCTGGTTTGCCATTAGCAGTACCATTCTTTATTGCGAAATCTGTCGAGAATTTGCTCAGCATTCCAGGTGGCGCACCCGTAAGATTAGTCGACGAGATATCCAGATCGGTTTCATTCGCATCACTCAGCCGTTCATCAGAGGCATTCGTCGCAGAAATATGAACGATTTCGTCCCTCACTTTGTTCTTTAGTTCATGCGGAACTATTTCGTCCAACCGTTTCTCATTATTTTCACCGTCTGGCTGAGCAACTCCCGTTGTTGGAAAAGGTTTCGCATCAGCAACAAGACCATCGCAGTGCGGATGCTGGGTCGCTATTTTCGGCGCGATCTCATTCCTAAGCAAAGGTCTTCTTTGTGGATTACGTGCACCACCTGTTTCGAGGAAGAACAGGTAATTGTTCGAGGTGAGGCTCATTTTATTGAAGGAGAAGGTGAGCGGTATGATGATTTCATGCTTAGAATTAATTGCTGATGGAACCAAGGCATGATTTTCTGACGTGCTCAAATCGGATACTGTATACAGTATAATGTATATCGTACGTTTGTACCATGCAATCAGATCCATATATTATTTCTCAGCACTCCGAAGTTCGCAGGATAAGTTAAGGTGCGCGCAAGATTATATGCTGTATATGATCACGCACGATTACTATTTCATCGGTTTGTATAACTAGAAAGTGAGAAAAATTTAATATTCTCGAGGACAACGTAATTCACGAAATGAACACGTCATATTTAGGCGAAGTATTGTATGTATCACAGCACTCTTCCGTATGCAATATAAATAGAGACAGCGGCGTAAATGTTGCAAAAATAATGGTCAGAAGATTGTTCTTACTGATTTCTTGCACCAGTTCCTCGTTGTTTTCTGTTGTGAAATCGTTCAGATTATTGAGAGCTGATGTTTCTATGCACGGATGAGTTCCATGACCTTGAAGGAGTGAGTTCCCGGAGGGAGAAAAGACCGGTGTTGTACCATCTGATGCTGCTTCACAGCGAATTCCGTTCGTGAGTGTGAATTGCTGCTGGGATGATGTGGCATCCATGACAGGAAGTTGGCTTCCGTAGTCTTCGTTACTTTCCGTGCATGATGCGTGAACTGTACAGCATTCTGAGTGAAAATACGTGAGGGTATCATGAGAAGTGGTCATCTTCATTACCCGAGAAGCAGGATTGCGTTCATTCGGTGCGGGAGAGTTAACGTCATGCGCGTCGTTTTTAGGAAATGACGGTGTTTTCACAGCAGGGCTGGATATGTTTGTCTGATCCTGGTTTGTGCAATAATGGTGCTGCTCGGTATTATTTAAAGAACGCATTTCATGCGAAACTTCTTCGCGCGTCATCGGTTGCTGCTGATAAGCATTGCTGCCGGACGGTTTCTTTGATAAAACCCCAGGTTTCCGTGATGGTAATGAGTGATCATCGATGAACAATTCCCCTTTCTCATAGTCATTTGCTGAGATCTGGAATTGCATGAACTCATTGCGACTGCTCGGTTCTTCTAAGTTGAGAAATAAAGCCGTTTTTGGCGAATCGTCTGACTCAACCGTTAATACTAGCGAAGTTAATTTGGTTTGCTCTGTTAGTCGTTTGTCACTTTCACAGAATCCGCGATGCTTGCTATGGCTTTCCTTATTTGATGAGGTCGTGACATTCTGAACCATATCATCATCGTTGTTCCTATTGTTCATACGAACTGATTCTCCCTCCCATGTTTTTTCCGTCGGTTTGTCACCCAAGTTTTCGAAATGTTTCATTGGAGAATTTGTTTTACTCTGCTGACAGAGTGCTGTTCCATTTTCGATCTGTGTGCTCGTTGTCGTGCTTTGCAAATGTGCATCATCTGTTATGAGTGTTTCCTTCACGTTCGTTCGAGATTGGATGCCAATCGCGTCTTGTGAATAATCGAGTGCGCTGGCGTTGTAATCTGGCTGCGTCTTTTGAGTCATGGTATCGGATATGTTGTGGATTTCTGGAAGATTGGTGTCCATGACTTCGTAGTGTTGAATCAAATGTGATGCTGGGGGTGTTCCGTTTTCAGTATGCTGGATATGCGTTTTGCTTTGTTCAAACAACATGAGTCCGTATTCTGTGGATTATATCGTTCGTAAGTTGTGTTGTATAAGAAAGCAATTAGTGCTAAATCCGAAAAAAGGTACTGATTTGTTGAAAAGCCAGGAGAGAATTGAAATGCCGGCTGAGAAAATCCCATAGTTTTGCCTCGAATGCGCTTAGCGAATTTCACGAAGTCAATGAATGATTTTGTCACATGGAAGGGATCCTTGGTGAGGCAAAATTTGGTTTTGCTTCAAAATTCTTTCTAGAATTATGATATACGGCATTGATATTTGACTCCTTTCTCCGAAAAATATTTGCTCGTTTTACGAACATCTTCGGCTCTTCGCAATCGTTTAAATTCATAGTCGACTTGTCGCAGTATTTTGTCTTCGAGTTTCACCCGTGTATTCGTAGTTAAACTTTATTTTGCTTCGTAAAATTGAATTTTTCTCACATTGCGTCAATTCTTTCATCTTTGACAAATCACAGATGGATCCGACTCACCACCAGAAGGAGGGATAGGTGTACCTGATTGCGACCGAGCAATCACTGCGTTGAAAACATTGCATGACCCGCATTCACACCCTGACTGCTCCTCGAAATTTCCTGCTGTCGTTGTTGCTGCTGCTACCGGAAGCGGAACAGGATGAGATCCGCAAGTTTGTCCCATGTCGTCAGAGCCGAAAAATTGGCACACTAACGGCACTAGTTCGCCATTCCCCATGTCGCAGAACCCACCAATGACGTAATACACTTTGGATTCCGTGCAGGACTGCTTGTGATGTGGGTGATGATGATCGGTTGGCTTCGGCGGGGATTCCAGCGAATTTTCGCGCATTTTGCAAGAATTCATTGGAGCTGATGATGTTGATGACGAGAATAAGCAACAAGAGGGTTCGTGCTGTTGAGCAACATTTTGCGAGGGATTCCTAATCTCGCCTGATGATGCTACTGCTGCTTGACGGCAAGTGCATTTTTGAGTGATTCTGCATTTGTCAACACGATGAGATTCCTTATTATTGGTGTGGTCGACAGGTTCGTAATGGTGGCGACTCTGGTCGGGTTTGTTGCCGCATTTGCCCTTCTTCGGCAGTATGAGGGGCAAGAATGTGTGTTTCGCTTGGCCTTCGGATTTGCATGTGATTCTGCAGTTTTTCAGTTTGCTCACATCGGCCAGTGATAAAGGCGGAAGGATGGGGAAATAATGCGGCTTCGGCAAAGCGCGACTTTTGCCCGTGATTCGACAAAAGTCTGTCATATTTGGTTGAACCTCGCGCTGACGAAATTCTGAAATTCATTTTTGAAAATCTTCGTCAAAGTTTTGTCCATATATTGTCCTAGGAGAGTTTTCCATGAAGAAATGTACAGTACCTTACGCAGACCTCGTTTTTATGCGTGTCGCGGTTTTAGAAATTTTTTTAGGTGAATCAGAAATGAACAGCAGTAAAAACTGGCTTCTGACGGTACGTAACTAAGCTTGGAATACAGTATAAAATTTCTCACGACGCCTGTTTCAATACGAGTGCTCTCAGGAAACTTTCGGAATATGCTGCACTCCAAACAGACTTCAAAAATCAACGCTGAACAGTAGTGTGAAATCGCAAAAACTGACGGAACATCGAAATACTTTTTGACACGACTTCGCTCCTTCTTCGCGAAGTATCCATTGCGAAAGGTTCCTGAGGCAGTTCATCATTATTGAGAATATAATTCATCAAAGGGATTTGATACGTAACTATGGTGAAATGAATCATTCCTACCTGATTTGTTTCGAAAATTTTGAATTGCTATGGTGGTTTCAGCGATGAGAAAAAGAGCTGCCTACTGTACGTTCGTTAATCCTATTTAGTATCTTACTTCACAAGAATGAAAAAAAAAAAACTCTGCGATTTGGGCCAAAATTCACGTTCTGCATGCACTGAAGGCTGTTCAGTCACATTTCTCCGGAAGGAGGAATACTAATCATGTCCACGACTGGATTACCAACTGTGAATTCGAGGCAATGACCGGAAACAAATTAGAAACTACCTGTTCGTTTTCAGATGAAACATTTTCCGAGCTCAACTTGAGCTGTTGCTGAGTGAAGTAATGTAATAAAGTAACCAGAAAAATTAAGAAGATTAAGAGCTAGAGATATTCTTGAGTGATGTGATAATACGCTGTATAGGGTTTTCGAAAAGCTTTCGACGAGGAATCTTCAAAATTAATTTTTACGTTTAAATGAAATGATTTGCCGAAACAGTGTGCGTGGTTTTTTTCACATTCCAGTGATTTTAATGTTTTTGTTTTCATGCTGAGGAATGAGTGTTTCTTACCGGGTATCACTTCAATTTTCAATACAGTAACTTCTTTTCAGTCTGAGTTCTGGCGTGTCGCGTATACTGGAATGATTCAACTCTACTTTCATGGATTGGTCATTTGTTCCATAGAGAAGAATGCCGAAGCCGGTGCCTTGAATCATTCGGATATTTATTTCTTGTACAGGATATCTGACTCACCTTCTAGGAGGAATTCTCTTGATACCTGTGCAGAAAATGTTTTCAGCACTCAGCGGGTTTCAACTCTGTCTTCTGCTCTCTTTCGGAATGAATCTCAAAACGCGGCACATGATTCATTCGTCTGCCATAATGTCGTTGCACAGGTATAACTTCGCATTTTCACGATTTAACCTGAACGAAAATTCACGATACACTTGAATGATCCCTTTTATTTCATTTCTTCACGTTTTAAAATGTCGAAACTAAATATATATTGCGAGTTTGAAAAGTGAAATATTTGGAAGAGCATATGGTTTTGTTGGGGCGCTGTCTATATGTTCGAACACAATGCACTGAACACTTGAAATTTCCGTAACGAAATTAGATTAAAAATCAATCGCATGACCTATGTTTAGGGGATGGGAATAAAGCGAATATGGCTCCTGTTCAATCCTCAGCGATGGTGGGGTCGTCGACCGACGCACAAACATGAAGATAGGAAGAACGCGACGCCGACACTGACGCAACAGGTGTCGGATGCTGTGGCTAAATATGTTCCTGCCGCCGACGACGACGGAAAACAACCGCTGCGCAAGTCACAGACGAGTCGATGTAGAAATTTTCTTCTTTTTTTATTTTCTTCTCTGTGTTCTCTTGGCTGCTGTAGCAGAAGAATGTTTACTTTTATTTTACCCCCCGAAACAACCGTTTGTTCTTTTTTTTATTGACTTCGATCCTTCTTGCGAAGTTTGAAGGCGTGAGGAACGAACTTTCCGCTCGTAACTTTCTGGGTTTTACCTGCAGTAGAGAATTGAATAGTTTTTTCTAACAATATAACTTCTGGGTCCCGGCATGAATCCGTACAGAAACTTTCTTTGCAGGAACAACTGCTAGGGTCATATTTTCAAGACCCTAGCAGTTGTTCCTGCAAAGAAAGTTTCTGTACGGATTCGGGTACTGCATTACATAAACGTACATATTCAAGCACTGTGCGCGCTTGAATATGTACGTTTATGTAATGCAGTACCCGAATTGTTCTCTGGTTGTACACTGTTTCGACCATTTTACGAAACTGCGTAGTTTTTGAATGGAGTGGTACAGGACCACCAGTTATTTTTGAAGTATACTGACTATGGTGCCCAAAACGTAAAACGCAAGAATTGTTCCCAGGAAGGCATTTACTTTCAATTTTTTGCTGGGGAAATAATGACAGTTGCTGCAATTATTGAGTGACTCTACCAGATTTCCAGCTTTGTATACCAGTATGCCAAAGATTCATCAATGCTGCAGCCACCATTTCCACGTTATCATATCAAGCACTCCACTAACAATGGCCCCCATCATGTGGTTGCGATGCTTGTGACAAACCCAGCTTTATCATCTGGCCCTGAAGAACGTGTACCTCCTTCACGTGTACAATGGGTTAATAAGCAAGGAAATTACAATACTGTGTCTGGATGTAGCAGCTTGTTCAGGAGCAATTCCTGCACTAAATTCAACGAAGCTTGAAAAAATTTAAAACTGGAACTGAACTTTAATCCTTGTACAGTATTGCACTTGGAAAGTTGGCTTCATCAAAGAAGAAACATGAACATATTGGTACTTGAACAGCATACAGATTCCCTGACGTATGGGCAATTCAAATTTGGGAATGTTAGAACTGAAAAAATCTGCCCCAGATGACAGTGACTCAAGAATGTCATGAGACCAAGACTTTCCTAGTATTCTTAGAACAATTTTATTTTTTCACATTTTCCATATCCGTTGAAGAAATTGACTTACAGTATTTAAATTCACAAGCATTAAACAATTAATTTTTACACTAGCCTATTTTATAATCAATCAAGGCTAATTTTGTGCTTCTTTTTTCCATCATGTGTACGCCGTATAGCAAGAATTGCATTTTGATTTTTTAGGTCTGTCCAATTCCAAAATATCAGATCCTTTTTGTTCTTTTTCACAAAGAATCTTCAGTATCTTTTGTATCTTGAACTTGAGAAATATTGCACTCAATTTTTTTTGGGACTGTATTCCTAAATTTTATTTGATTAAGTGAACCAATTAAGTATGTTTCCATTGAATTATATGGGAAGATGAGATCTTATTCGTGGATGTTCGGACATACATGGGGACAAGGTCCAATCACCAATTATGTCCGCATTTCCCATGCGCCGTTTTTTCTGTATACTGTATTATAATTGAGAAAGACTTTTATTTATTTTGTGGATTTCATTTTTCAAAAATGTTTATGAACAGGACCAGCACAGATTACATACTGTTGGTTTCCACTGACGTCTACCATAAACTAGCACTAAATTGAACGTCTTCAGACTGTATGTCTGTTCCAAGTTCGTGGTTAATATGTTATAGACGTAGCAGGCCGGGATGAAATCAATCCGACATTTATGGTTTTTGGAGGAGTTTCAGTTCAATAGTAGGGTTTTTGGGTACTTTTGGAGTGGTCTTCGAGTTTGTATAGCGAGGTCTGAATCAACTTCTTCTCATTTTTTTCAGATTATCAAAATCAATTTATTGCATGATCCATAATGTTAACAGAAAACTCTTTATATAGTTCTGGCCAGATTTCTCTGCACCCTGCTGCCACACAGGGTGCGGAAAATTTATCAGTACAGCTTATTGAAACTAAAGTTGCATTTTTGTTTTCACCAAGTGCCTAAAGTTTTGGAAATACAGTATAATGCAGAGGAAAAGATATTCCTATATAAATGCTAACATTGTGCAGTAAATTGAAACATTTTAGAGAAAATTCCATGCCAGATCCTTATACCCACATCATTGGCAATCTACTAACAGTAAATTATATACAGTTGGTACTTTTTCAATGAATAACCATGGTACCCAAGTGGGACAACCCTTGTTTATGTTCAGGAATGAATAAGGAACCCATTTCCTGTATCTTATTAGAAGAATGGCAAAGGCAAACTTGGTCCTCAACGAATATTTCTTTTTCAGCATGGCAGGAATATGATGCCCAGTGACGTCCGTTCAACGTCCGTCGAGATGAAGTTCCCGCCGCTTGGCAGGGATCCAAAGCATTTGAGGAATGCCAGCTAGAGAACCCGCCTGCGGACCATGTGGAAAGGAAGAATAAAGAGACGCCTCTCATCAAGGGTAAAACAATAAGAAGAGCGAAGCTGATGGAGTCTAGAAATTACGCCGCTGCTTTTGTTTTTTCCATAGATAAATAACGCAGCTGGGCTTGAATCGTTCTGATGCATCTCATCTTGTTGATGCACTGCTGCTGGCACATGTGACCAGGAAGCAGCTACATTTATTAGTCTTGGTCTTCGTCTGCTGCTGCGAAGGAGGAAGGTGATGATACAATGTTATGGAAGGAGCTCATGTGTGCGGCATATACTGCGGGACCTGTACAGGTAAATGCGCAGGTGAATCTGAATTGAAGGAGGCAACTATACTGTATGTATATATTTATTATTCAGCGTCCACATCATCACGTGTTCCACCCAGCAGGTACAGCATAATAGGCAGTACAGTACTGGTGCATTTGTTTCTTTTACCGTAATTGTGTATATATTATGTACAGCATGCACATATAGATGAGTGCACAATACTGTACTCGCAATAAACTGTTCATGTGCTGTCAACCCTTGATTTGCTTGTGTGACCCTTGCATACTTCAGTAGTTTAGTGTCAGAAATGTCTGAGGACCAAATATCACTCCATTGTTTTTACCCCAATAATAATCAGTGCCAACTGCCAACTCACTTATGTACAGTTCCAAAAAATGTCCTCTCCTGGATAAAAAGTGGGCCTGAAAATTAAAATTATAATTTTTTCATCAATATCATTAGGTTATCATCACTGATGAGCGCACAGCACTCTGGATAATTTTGAAAATTTCATTTCTGCATGTCTACATGTTATATTGGGTTGCATTATATTTGTATGTCCTTCACAGTAGAGAAGAGCCTCGCCGTAACCATGAAATGTCTCTTCAAGAAAAACCAAAATTTCACCTGATCTTGGAAGTTTGTGGTTTCATTCAAAGGTTTTAAAACTTTTTCTAAGAAAAGAGCTCTACTATTTCACTGTAGAGACAATATACTGTATGTGTAAAATTGATATATACAATTCTGTGTTATGGAATAAGTTGAAATAGACAATAGAAGCAGTGCATTTGAGCTTCATGCAATTTCTGGTGACTTTTTCTATCATAAAAGTTATAAAACAGACTCAATGACTCAACAGTTCTGCAAAGAAGCTTACTTACCTAATACTGTAGTATAGTCAAAGTCCTTTAATACTAAACATTCATCTGACTAAACACTGTACTCCATTGAATCAGTGCCATTCTTGCTTGGGGCCACAAAACGTGCTAGGAAAAATTATTAAGCAAAATTAAAATTTGACTGTGTAAACCCATTAAAATTAATTTGGAACTATGAGTAGATACAAGGGTTATCCCAGTTCTGATTGACCTTGGTATAATTGGTCATTTTGAGAGTATTGTTACCAATGTAAAAAAATGTATGTTCTCACCCATGTTTCATGAGGTTGGATTTTTACAGATTTGTATAAAAATTTACATTAACTGTATATAAGGATAAATGAACATTTTTCAGTTACAGTGAGTGTTCTATCCATCCCTATCACAAGCTGTTTGAACTTTTTCAGGCCACGCAAAATTTAAAATCTCATGTTGTTTTTTGTTACAAACTTTCCTACACCTTGCACAATTTTCACATTTTTTTGCTGATTATTTTGTTTGTGACAAATTAAAAACTAAGTTAATTTCGAATTTTTCTGATATCAAGGGTTCATTTCCAATTTTTATTTCTTTTATCCTCAAAAACAGCATCCAAGGGCTATTTTCTGCCAGTGATATATTTCTTACTACTTGCTGGAAATGAGGAAACTCCTTTTTTTTTATCTTCTGCACCAAGGTCATAAACCAGGGTAAGGAGGTGTACCATGTGCGTCTGCCCTAGCTTGGGTAGAAATTACCCCCCCCCCCTCTTCCCCACCCATAAACGGATTTTCTTCGTCTTCTTCTTCTTGAGGAGCGCAGGTGCTGCTCCTCAACCCACTTCCCCTCCTTCCATCAGTGAAAAATGTAAATAAAAAATGCAAACAGAGTTTTCATAAATCTTCAAACATATCTAATGAAAATAATGATAAATTTTATTGATAACTCAACATATTTTTGCAACATAGTACAGTGAGACCTTGAGA